GGAAGATCTGGACCGCCACCTCCTCCACTCCCTGGAGCTGGGGGACCATCAGTGCCACCCCCGCCGCCACCTCCACCACCACCACCTCCACCCTGCACTGGAAGTGGGCCAACCCTTCCTCCACCCCCTCCTACTTCGGTGTCTGCCGGGGGACCAGCACCTGGTGGAGGCCGGGGTGCACTTTTGGATCAAATCCGGCAGGGAATTCAGCTGAACAAGGTAAAGATGGGCAGGATAGATAATTGGGGGTCATGGTTGAGAATGACGAGCGTGCCAGACTTTGGGGATCCAGTGATAAGTTGGAGATTGGTGTGGTCCTTTGAAAGGGATTGGAGTGGGTGAGAGAAGAATGGAAGAAAGGGCAGGAGAAATGTTCTTCTCACAGTCTTGAGCCTTCTGTGCCCCAATCTCTTGGTGCAGACCCCTGCCGCTATAGAAAACTCAGTACAGCAACCACCACCTCAGAGGTCAGAGGGCCTAGTGGGTGCCCTGATGCATGTGATGCAGAAGAGAAGTAGAGTCATCCATTCTTCAGGTGAGCCCATTCTGCCATAATTGTGACCCTAAAACAGCTCCAGGTGACACTAATGGTGACACTAGAGGCCCAGGTAGTGGTATATGCCAGTAAACCCAGTGATGGGAAAGTTGAGGAAGAAGGGTCTTGAATTCAAGGGCAGCTGAGTCAGGAAAAAACGGCAGTTGACAGAAGACGCTGGAGATGTAGCTTAGTGGCAGTGCACTTGCCTGGCACACTTTAGGCTTTAGGTTCCATTTCCAGCAGTGAAAACAAAAACCTACATTCACCCATCTGTGGATAGCAGTATTAACATGAATTTCCCTTTGGAAAGCCAGGTTGGGACTGGTGCCATCCTCAGCATGTTGATGACATCAAGTCATCAGGCAAGAGTAATACAATGAAGTGTATCTTTGATAATAATATTAACATATGCCAGGGTAGGCCCACAATATGAATATTAACCACATACATTCAGTGGTATGTGTTGTGTGACAAGACTTTTCGTGGGAAGACACAACACACAACATTTATCTACTCACCCTAGATAGGGGGCCCATGACAGACCAAAGTACAGATACCACCAAGGTCCAACATGATGAACCAGTGAGTTTTATTGAGGTTACTTACTGGATTATGGGTGAAGGGTTACTTACAGGAACAGATATGACTCAAAGACAGCAACAGGATCAAAGCCCACCCCAGCATGGGTGACAGCTCACAAAGCTGGGAGCCTGGAGTGCACTGTACAGCCTGCAGGCAGCTCATCAGATTGGAGAGTGTCCTTTCTAAGTGACTCAGTTGGTCTAAGCCTCTCCCAGGCAGCTCAGCTGGTTTCTGCTTCCAGGCAGCTGATCTGGTCTCAGAGTCTCTTTTGAGGTTGGCTTGTGTGAGAATGACTCACAGTAGTCTTTATTGCTTCTGCTGAGAGGAAGGGGCCTGGTGAGTCTGGTCAGTTTCAGGGACTCCTTGAAGCTATTTCGAATTGTTTATCTTCTGGCTTAAGGAGCTTCCATGCCAGATGGAACGTTTCAATCTCCAACTCAGAGGACACGGTTAGATGACACTACCTCACTATGTGAAGATACTCCATCTTTGGTTAAGATCAGTGACTGCTCTTCCAAAGAACACGGGGTCAACTCCCAGCACAACACCTCACAACTATCTATAACTCTAGTTCTTAGGGATTCAGCAGCCTCCTCTGGCCTCCACAGGCGCCAGGCATGTACCTGATGCACAAACCTACATGCAGGCAAACATTCATACATTAAATAATAAACTTGAAAAAGAAGAACTCCATCTTTGCCGGGCTGGTGTGGTGGCGAATGCTTTTAATCCCAACACTTGGGAAGCAGAGGCAGGCAAATTTCTATGAGTTTGAGGCCAGCCTGGTCTACAGAGAGTTCAAGGCTAGCTAAGGCTACATAGAGCCTGTTTCAGAAAATAAGAAAGCAAGAGGCTAGAGGGTTGGTAAAAGCAGCAGCTGCCTAGCTCAATGACCTGAGTTCAACTGACATCCAGCATTCATGTGTTGGAAGTAGAGAACTGTTTCCCACAAGTGATTCTCTGACTTCCACACTTGTACATTGGCTCACACACAAAGACATAATTTAAAAAACAGAAACCTCCTTCTTTGGCAATAATATTAACATTAAGTCCAACAGTTCAGAGTCACATCAACTGGTATGATAATATCATAACCTCGTCTTTTTGTGCAAAAATATGGAACTCTTTATGAATTTTTGTATCATCATTGTACAGGGGCCATGCTAATCTTCTCTGTACCATTCCATATGCTCTGTATGTGCTATTGGGCAGTAAGCTAGCCTCTTTACAATTATGTTAAGAACTGAATGTGCCAATTATACTGCCATTAACCCAGTATTCGAGGGTAATACTAATCTTGGCCTATTTCTAATAGGTTGAGAACAGATTATCAGTAATGCCATTAACTGCAACTTCACAATAATGTTAATATTAACCCGAGTATGTCTACAAGATTAATGGAATCCATTATGTGTTAATATTTTAACAAATCTCATCATTTGACAATGTTTTTCATTAGGTTCATTCTGAATCAACAATATTAGCATTAATTCACTAAGAAACAATAATAAATTACCCCACTGTTGCTAATGTTTAAACATAGGGGTTATCATGAATATCCAGACTGACAACAAGTGATGATTATTGCTTGTGGCAAGCTACATATTTGATGTCGAGCTTCCGCATTTTTGAGTTTCCTGCCTCCATCTCCCCAGGGCTGGGATAATAAGTGTGCACCACCACTCCAAGTTTGATGGGAATCAAACCCAATGCTTCTTTAATACGAGATAAGCGTTCTACCCACTGAGCCACATCCCTAGCCATGTGCATTTTTGCATTTATTTATTTTGTATTTGTGTTTCTGTATGCTGGTACACACATAGTCATCTGAGGACCACATGTGTATGGGGTTCAGTTCTCTCCTTCCACTTTATGAGTCACAGGGATCAAACTCAGGTTGCTAGGTTCAGAGGGAGGTGCTTTTACCCACCGAGCCATCATGACACCCCTTTTTATATTTATTTATGTATTTGGTTTTTCAAGACATGGTTTCTCTGTGTAACCCTGGAAGTCCTGGAACTCACTTTGTAGACCAGGCTGGCCTCAAACTCACAGAAATCTGCCTGCCTCTGACTCCTGAGTGTTGGGACTAAAGGCATGAGCCACCACTGCCCAGCTCATTAACATTTTTAAAATGATTTATTTATTTATTTGTTATTTTATTTTTTGGTTTTTTTGAGACAGGGTTTCTCTGGGTAGCTTTGGAGCCTTTCCTGGCACTCGCTCTGGAGACCAGGCTGGCCTTGAAGTCACAGCGATCCACCTGCCTCTGCCTCCAGAGTGCTGGGATTAAAGGTGTGCGCCACCAACGCCTGGCAAAATGATTTATTTTTATTTTTAAATAAAATTGGTATTTTGTCTGTATGTATGTCTGTGTGAGGGTGTCAGATCCCCTGGAACTGAAGTTACTGACAATTGTGAGTTGCCATGTGGAAACTGGGAATTGAACCTGGGTCCTTTAGAAGAGCAGCCAGTACTCTTAACTGCTGAGCCATCTCTCCAGCCCCACCATTAACGTTTTTTGTTGTTTTTAAGGCAGGTTCTCGCTTAGTTATGTAGCCCTGACATCCTGGAACTCTTTGTGTAGAACAGCCTGGGCTCAAACTCACAAAAATCCACTTGCCTCTGCCTCCAGAGTACTGGGATTAAAGCCTAACTTTTTTTTCAATACTGCATGGACTTGAACTCCAGCTAGAATACTCCTTACCCAAATCCCTGTTTTGCCCAAGGTGTGCCTTCAGCAGAAAACTTCGGTGCCCCAGGGCTGAGTCTTTACCTCCTGGGCCATAGGAACTGTCTCAGGGCCTTTGAACGTACTTTCTTATCCTGAGTCATAACCTGAATCTTTTTTCCTCCAGATGAAGGGGAGGATCAGACCGGGGAGGATGAAGAAGATGATGAATGGGATGACTAAAGCCATGTTCCTTCCGGCAGGCCAGTCTCACCCTTCGATCTCACTCTTCGATCACTTTGTGCTCACTTTGCCATCCAGATGCCCTTCCACCCTACCTACGCTCAGAATCCCATCTTAAACAAAAGGTTTCAGTTCTCCTCACTCAGGGATTTAAAAAGAATAAAAGAAATCTTTGTGTCTCCAAGGTCTGCATTTGTTTGCATCCAAATGTGTGATTTGGGCTTCTTTCCCCCACAGTTGCTTCTGTAGAGACACAGAGAGAGACAGGCAGACAGAGAGACAAACAGAGGTATATGTGTAGGCCAGAGGTTGGTGTTGGATACCGCCTTCAATTGTTCTTTGTTTTGTTAAGATTGTTGTTTTATTGTCATTGTTGGAGATAAGAGTCTCTCTATGTAGCCCTCATTGGCCTGGAACTTGCTATGTAGACCAGCCTGGACTGAACTCACAAGAGAGAGATCTATCTGCCTCTGTTTCCCAAGCGCCACCATGCCTGGCTAGATTTATTTTTAAATTACATTAATGAGTGTTCCTGTGCATGTTTGTGTAGGTGCCCGTGGAGGCTCCAGGAGTTGGCTTTCCCTGGAAGCTCTAGTTGCAGGTGGTTGTGAGCTACCCAATGACATATGTGTTGGCAACCAAACTAGAGATCTCTTGGAAAACAGTATGCACTTCTATCTACACAGCCATTATCCTCCTTTATTTTTGAGACAGGGTCTCCCCCTGAGCCTGAAGGTCACCAATTGAACTAGACTGGTTGATTAGCAAGCTTCAGGGACTCTCCTGCCCCTACCTTCTCCAGTTCTCTGATGTGTTCCCGCCCCACCAGAGACAAGGTTTCTCTGTAGCTTTGGAGGCTGTCCTGAAACTTGCTCTGCAGACCACGCTGGCTGGAACTCACAGAGATCCACATGCCTCTGACTCCTGCTGGGATTAAAGGCATGTGCCCCCCTTTTTGAGTTAAGTATTTATTTATTTTTTAATTTTTTAATTTTTGGTTTTTTGAGACAGGGTTTCTCTGTGGCTTTGGAGGCTGTCCTGGAACTAGCTCTTGTAGACCAGACTGGTCTCCCACTCACAGAGATCCGCCTGCCTCTGCCTCCCAAGTGCTGGGACTAAAGGCATGAGCCACCACTGCCCGGCTTTTTAAATGTATTTTAAGTTAAAATATAATCACATTATTCTCCTCTTTCTTTCTGTCCAACCCCTTCCATGAGCTTACAATCCATGGCCTTTTCTTTTTCCTTTTTTTGGTTTTTTGAGACAAGGTTTCTGTGTAGCTTTGGAGCCTGTCCTGTCCTGGAACTTGCTCTGAATCACCCAACCCTCTTTTTCTTTCTTATTGTTACCAAGTCTCCTAGAAATGAAAGGGAAGCAATATTCAAGATAGCTCAACAATATTATTTTAGCTGTCTAACCAATACCAATTGACATGCTATGGTGGGAAGAATCTCACAGGGTCCCACCTCTAAACGAAGAATTATGAACCTGGATTTTACATGGGTGCTTGGATCAAAGTTTATATGGCAGGCACCATACTGTTAGAGCCAGCTCCCCAGTCATTAGCTTGTATTTATTTCCTGTGCCTTTTGTCTTGAAACAAGCATTAACTGCCAGAGATTACTATAGGGGCCAGGAGATGAGAGACAAGAACCAAGAAAGATATTTACAAGTCGTGGTCTGTGCTGTGGAGTGCTGAGTCTATGATAAAGGACAACATTCCCAAGGAGCAAGCTGGGAAGTCCAGTTTGGAAGGGGTGGCAGGTGTGCAGGATCTGAAAGAAGACAGGGTTAGATAGGGAAAATGTAGGGGAAAGAGCATTCCCTTCCCGGCATGGGAGTGGTCCATGTAAAAGTCCTGAGGTGAGAAGCTTGTTATGAGGGAGAATGAGTGTGGATAACCAGTAGGAATTTCTTTATTTACACACGTAATCTTTCCCACCCCCTCTATCTTCTTGCTAGTTTGTTGTTTTGAGACAGGGTTTCATGCAGCTCTCTTGAGCTTCTTGGGCTTGCATCCAGCCTGCCTTGAACTCTTGATCCTCCTGCCTCTGTCTATCAAGTGCTGGGGTTATAGGTCTATGCCACCATGCCTGGCTTTTGATTATTTTTCAGATTGTTAGAATGAGAACTGAAGCTCACAATGGGCAGTCTCTCTCTGTGTCGCTGTCAATCTGTCTTTGTCTCTTTGTCTCTTTGTGTCTCTGTCTCTCTCTCTCTCTCTCTCTCTCTCTCTCTCTCTCTCTCTCTCTCACACACACACACACACACACACACACACACACACACACAATCAGGATTCTGAGTCTGAATGGCAGGACCACCTTCTCAACGGTAGAATTTTACCTCTGTTCAGTTCCCAGAACACACAGAGATCCATCCTCTCAAGACTACAGACAAGATGCCTCACCCCAGCCTACGCATGGACAATAGCAGTATTACAGGTTATCAACCAAGAACTCACTGCCCCTGCTTTGGGACTTTTTTTCCAGAAAGAATAAAAATGTAATCCAGAACTGTCCCTTGTGTTTAAAACTATTTCCAAGGGAGCAATTAGAAATGTTTACATATTAAAGCCTACAACTGAAGCCCCTGCCCCTCCTCGTTTCTGAAATCTGGTAGATTCAAGATCTTTATTACCTCCCTGAGGAGGCAAGAAGTTAATGCTGAGGAAAAACAAGTCTAGAAAGGCCAGGAGACTTGCTCATGGTCATTTGTTCTTGCGTGATATTGGGGATCAAACACAAGACCCCATCATGCTAGCCAAGTGCTTTACCCCAAACTATAGCCCTGGCTCCTCATAGTCAATTCTGCCACTCCAAGCAAAAGAAGTGTATTGGGAGCAGGAATCCAGAGACGTCAGGTTTCTTCAGTCTGCAAGATCAGTAAAAGAATGGAGTGGAAAGTGGGGTAAGAGAGGATTGGGAGATGGAGGAGGCAAACACACAGTGGGAGTGGGTATGCATTCACCCTTAGGAAGTTTGCTGGAGAAGGGAAAGTCTGCCCCAAGCTAGAGAAGGAGCCGATCTGAGGGTTCCCTAAATTCTTCAATGTTTCTTCATCACCACCCTGCCCAGGTCTTGAGATAGGCAGATGGGTAGTGGGTTTAGAAAGAGCCTGTCAGTACCACCTATTCTCCCTCACAGTTGTCCATGCAAATATTAGAAATCTAGTGTTTTGGGACCCCTTTGTCTATGAAGAGACTTTCCAAAGCTCAGTCTCTCCATGTCAGGGAGCCTAACTTGAACAGGCCCAGACCTGGGCTAAAAGGATTGGTCTAGGAACTAGTAGCTCAGTGGTC